TCTATTGTTCAGAGTGATTGTGAAATAGATGAAGATATTATCAGCAGAATTCAAGTTGGATGGTTGAAGTGGAGGAATGCATCGGGCTTGTTATGTGATAGAAATGTACCCCTCAAACTTAAGGGAAAATTCTATAAGATGGTAGTGAGGCCTGCAATGTTTTATGGTGTCGAATGTTGGCCATTAAAAGAGAAGCATAATACTAAGTTAAGTGTGGAAGAGATGAGGATGCTCAGGTGGATGAGTGGCTTTACCCTTAGAGATAGGATACGAAATGAGCATATATGTGAAAAGGTTGGAGTAGCTCCAGTAGAAGATAAGATTAGAGACAATCGCCTTAGATGGTTTGGTCACATAAAAAGGCGGCCTTCCGATGACCCGATTAGGAGAGTAGAGGTATTAGATTTGACTTGTGTTAAGAAAGGTATGGGTAGACCTAAAAAGACTTTGTTAGAAAATATTAGGAATGACATTTCTTTATTAGATTTAAACAAAAATTTAACTTTTAATAGAACACAATGGAGAAAAATGATTCATATAGCTGACCCCACGTAGTGGGATAAGGCTTGATGATGATGATGTTGTTGTTGTTGTTATATGTCCAAATTTTTTTAAAAATATCACTAATATTAACTAGTAGTTATGTGTGAAATATGATTATGCTGATCAATCAGGTTATACTATTGACTTAAATCTCATTTTCGTCGAGCTCGTTATAAGAAAATCGTCTATTACCGACAGTAATTTCTGGCGGTTTTGATATATTTTTCGGCGGTTTGAAAAATTCCAGGCAGTTTATAAACTGCCAGAATAAACCGGGTAGGGAATGTAAACCGGCGGCCAATATTCGGCGGCAAAATTTTTCGATGATTTTCTGGCGGCTCAAACAACCCAAAAATTAATGAACCCAAAACTGCAAGTAAATCGCCAGAAAATTTTGAGCAAAAATTGCCGACAAACGTCGGTTTATTATCGACGGTAAGAACGTACACCTGGTATTTCTGGTGGCCAAACTAACGGGTAGTCGCAATAATTACTGGCGGCAGCTTCACGCCATATGGTATCTCTACAAAACTTAACTTAGTATTATGCTTCTCTTTTAATGACCAACATTTGGCACTATATATAAAGCATTGTAGGTCTCACCCCCATTTTATAGAATTTTCCCTTAAGTTTAAGGGGGATTGTTCAATCCCAGAACAAGCCCGATGCATCCACTTCAACCATCCAACTTGAATTTTGTTCATAATAACCCCATCTATTTCACCTTCACTCTAAACAATAGATCCAATATATCTAAAACATGTACTCATATTAATGACTTGATCGCCCAAAGTCACAATTCCTTCACTAAGTATATTACTACTAAAATTACACTATATATATTCAGCTTTAGATCTACTCAAGCGAAAACCTTTAGACTCTAAGGTTGACCTCCATAATTCAAGTTTACCTTCAACTCTCTCTCTAGTCATATCATCAAGAAGAATATCTTCAGCAAAAAGTATAAACTAAGGTACATCATTTTGCAAATGTCTATTGAGAACATCCATGACTAAAGCAAAATGATATGAGCTTAAAGCTTTCTCAAAATCAATCTTTAGTTTCAAAGGTGGACCTCCATAATTCAAGTTTACCTTCAACTCCCTCTCTAGTCTTATCAACAAGATGAATATCAATAGCAAAAATTATAAATTAATCAAGGTACATCCTCTTACAAATGTCTACTATAAATATTCTTGACTAAAGCAAAAAAAATAAGTAGAAGAATGGAGATCACCTTCGGCTAGGGCGGTCAAAAGTGAGTGAGGGCATCAAGGGCGCGGGCGGCGTTCGACGGGCAGAGTTCTGTTGACGAAATGAACGAGCACAATTCGGCGAGGACTAGGGCGTCTAGACAAAAGAGAATGAGCCACGCGAAGAATTAAGGAATAAGTGAGGGGTATTTAATTTTAGGGCCCTTTCTGACGGTTTTCCGACAGTTTTATACACCAAAAACTTTTTACTTAAAAACGTCGGCTAAACCACCGATAAAAGCCGCCACGAAAAAAAAATACCGGCGGTATTTTCGGCAGTCAGTTGGCCGCCGGAAGTTCCGGCGGTTTAGCGTTTAATACAGGTGGTTGAATCGACAGTTTATAGTTCCAACCGTCAACTGATCGTTGGAAATACAGCCGGTATTCAGTGAATTTCGTATAGTTCTTGCCATGATTGCAGAGGCAATGCTCCCCCTACTTAGGATTCGGGGTCTATACAGTTGTACAAAGCCGCACTATTGTACGCTCCGGTGCTACAACACTATAGTCTCAAGTTGGAGAAATTAAGAGAGAAAAGATCTATGATTCACTGTAAACTATAGTGCTATGGTGCTACAGGGTGGACTCAAATATTGTGGTGTTACGAGTTGGGCTGAGCATTTTTTTCCCTCTTTTTCTTGTTTCACATGAAGAGTTGCATCATTTAGTGTATTGAAAAGTGTATCTTATTATATTCTATATTTAGAATGAATGGAGACGAGAAAAGAGTATGAGAGAAGAGATATGCTCAATTTCTCCAAAAAATTCATTGTGAATTTCTTGGTGCGGTGTGGTGTGGCTCATGCTTTCCTTTTTTCAAAATTTTTCACAATAAATATCCATGTGTTCATTTCCGCTATTTTCTTTTCTTTTTTGTTTCGTTACATGGTTTTACTTCCCAACACTAACTTAAATAAATAAATTATATTTTTTCACATATATATTTGAAGTGATTTAGATGCTAAAGTAATATGTGAGCTGCAAGTTTAAATGTTTAGATGCTAGATATATAAATATATAATGATTTTTTTGCATGTATGTCATTTCCTCATAATTAAACGAGCTATATGATTCTCGTGAAAATCATTTAAAAAAAGCAATTCTAGTCTATCACTTATTTTATAAAAAGCAAAGGTCAAATGAAATCGGAGGCATACAAAGCTGAATTTTGTAGTTTACTTATCTTTCCCATTAATTACACATATAACCTTTGAAAATGAGCATATTTAAAGACAAATGTAATACAGCTAAATCATATTAACAATAGTAACATCAGAAACAGTATATACTATAGGAAAATCATACAATATTGGCGGATCTTCTGACGAGAAATTGTTAAGCTTCCGGTGGAATTGAAAGTTTTTCAGTTGAATAAATTTCGACGGTAAAATGAGCGTCGGAAAAATTTTGCGTCGAACAAAAACTCCGGCAGAAAAAGGCTGCCGGAATAACAAAAAATAATAATTTAAGAAAATAGACTACCCAGCTGCCTCGGCCAGCCTGCCCGCCCATTCGAGCGAAGAATCAAACACGGGACCTCTTATGTTTTGTTGCACGGTGTCAACCACTCTGCTGTGATGTAAAATGTGTTAAGTTATAAAGTATTTTAAATTTAAATAAGCTAATTCCATAAAATTTTAACAAAAATTAAAATAATAAATAATTAAAATAAATTATTAATATTAATATTAAATTTTTTAATAAAATAAAAAGTTAAAATTATTAATAAACAAGTTAATGTTATTAATAATAATATTAATACTAAAGTTATTAATATAATGGTAATTTAAAGTTATTAATATTAATATTATTAATAGAACAATAAATTAAAGTTATTAATAAATAATTAAACTAATTCTTACTTTAACTTGTAAATTTGAATTATTTAAAGTTATATTAAATTTATTAAATTAATAATTAATTAAAATAGGCTATGAAATTATTAATTAATGAAATTACGAATATATAATCTTTCTCAAAAATTATTAAAATTCGTCGAAAAATCCACCGGAAACAAATCTGTTAGAAATCCGCCGAAAAATCTTACTAAAAATTGGTCGGTAATATTTCATCTTTATCTGCCGGAAATTTCGTCGGTAATGAACGATTTTCTTGTAATGATAGTAGCAGACAACTTTTCTTCAAGTCTGTAATTCTTGTACAGTTGTTGCTTTATATAGAATGGGCTGGTACATGTGTAATAAGGCTTGATTGCAAATGGTGTGTTAGGCATTAAGACCATCTCCAACCGTTCGACAAACAACCGAATGGAGGCCCTCAAATGTCACAATCGAACGCCATTTACTCTGCCATTTGATCGCAAGTGAACTTCGACGACATATTGGCGTGCACTGTTCACTTGCGCCATTCTTTTCCTCTACCGAACTTGCCTAAGAATGGCGCGAAAGAAACGAGCGATGGTTAGGGGGCAAAATGACGTTCCATTGGAGATGAATCACGTTACTATTTGATTTTACTACATTTTGCAGTGAAAAATGAGAGTTTCGGTTGTTTGATCGCAGTTGAACAGTGCAACGTTAATATTGGCGTCGCACTGTTCACTTGCGCCATTCTTTTCTCTCTACCGAACTTGCCTAAGAATGGCGCGAAAGAAACGAGCGATGGTTAGGGGGCAAAATGGCGTCCCATTAGAGATGAATCACGTCACTATTTGATTTTACCACATTTTGCAGTGAAAAATGAGAGTTTCCGTTGGAGATGCCGGTGGATGAGCTACTCGGATTGTTACTCTCAGGGTCGTTAATGGTGGAAGTGCTAGTTTGCTCCTTTACTATTCCATGTATCAATTGTCGAGTGAGTAAGACATCTACACAAAAACAATAGAATATTTTGTAAAATTGCAAGATAAACGAATTGCATACATAGTAATTAAAAAATTTACAAAATTATATATCTTTTATCCTTTTATGTGTTTTACGATGTTTACAAAAAAATTCCATTAATTTGATCGTTACATTTTTAAACGAAAAGTATCCAATAAATCCATCAATAGAAAGATACCAAAAATAATGAAATATACCCTTATAAAAAACAATCAAACAAAGAGTGATGTCATTTCTTTTCCTTTCAGCAGCAAAACTTCTCAGACAATTAACCAAGCAATAATTCATCCTTTCATGCCAACAATAATTTCTCAATTATAATGTAATACAAGAAAGGGCTGCAATAATAACAGAGCTCCGATCCAAGCTGGCTTATAACTCCTCGTGTCTAATTTCTACATGAGCTAGCAAGCCTATCTGCACAATATAAATACGTCCAAAACTCTGCAAAGCTTCAGCATTGCCATTTTCGGGGCAGGAGAGGAACAATATGGAAGGTTTGAATTAATTAAGCTCTCTCTTAGGCTGCACATTCTATATAATTATAAGGTAATTAGCAAATTTTTTCTTTTACTAATCAGGTTCAACTAACCTCTCGCTCCAAATATCACTGGCTCGTGCCTATCAGTATATTCTTGTGCCGACTGATAGGCTATTACTTCGCATATGGGCGGCATTATTATGGATGAAGGATGTGGTGATTTTGCCGGCAATGAAGTCGGTAATGGCGGCATTGCTGTGGCTAAAGGAGGTCATAATTTTGCCGCTAATGAAAGTGATATTAGCAGTTTGTTTGGTGATGTTGGTGTTTGTGTTTATAGAGAAAGTATTGATGGGATTTACCAGTCTCTACGTCAAAATATTTTGTCGGAAGCCTGAGAAGATATACAAGTGTAGTCCTATTGAAGAAGATGAAGAGCTTGGGAGCTTGGCCTACCCTATGGTTCTTGTTCAAATACCAATGTATAATGAGAAAGAGGTAAACTTTATCGAGATTAGTCGCTTCGTTTGGGACAACTTTTTCATTGTTTTATATAACAACTTTTTAGTAAAAAGATTTCTAATTCAAGAAAATTTTTAACTAAAAAGTTGTTTTAGAAAGCATTAAGAAAGCTGTTTCAAACGAAGCATATTATTTATGAAATTTATTAGTTGTCATGTTTTTGGATGAAAATATGTAAAGTGTGAAAAAAAGAAGAAGATATTTTCGATCATATTGAGTACTAAATATTAAATTTTAAAATAATTTGCATTCAGAAGATTCTTATTTTGACATGGAATATTAGATTAAGAAAAGAAGACATTTCTAGCTCTTTAATTTGAAGATAAAACAGTGAAGTTTGGACATATTTATATAAAATATAAAGACCAACAGTAGCATAGAAAAATCAAAAATAATTTTTTTTTTTTCATATTTATTATTACATTTGTACATATGCAATACTTATACTCATGAAGCAAAAGTAATATTTCAGGTCTACCAACTTTCCATACGAGCAGCATGTAATATTACTTGGCCAGCAGATCGTTTAATAATACAGGTGCTTGATGATTCAACTGATCTGATCATTAAGGTAACATATTGTGTAACATATTGAGATAGATCATCTCAATATCTCACTTTCTTCAGTAAATAATAATATGTTGGTATTTTTGATCAGTTTTTGTGTGAAACAATCATTTGATAGTTGATATAACATTTTTTCTTACTAATTAACAACATTATTTTAATTTGCTTGATGTAATAATGTAGGAGCTGGTTTATGAAGAATGCAATAGATGGCTGAAGAAGGGAAAGAACATAAAATACGAGAGGAGAGATAATAGAAAGGGATATAAAGCTGGTGCCCTAAAGATAGGAATGAAGCATGACTATGTGCAAATATGTGAATATGTCGCCATGTTTGATGCTGATTTTCAACCTGAGCCTGATTTCCTCATAAGAACCATTCCATTCCTTATTCACAACCCCAATCTTGCTCTTGTTCAAGCTCGATGGAAGTTTGGTAATTTAAACAATATAAAAATTCAACTTATTACTTGCAAAAAATTATTTTACAATAAGTTAACATATACGAAAATAATTAGGATATTATGTTATTAACCTATTAATTTATTTGAAAAACATGATTAGAATTATAATTTTTAATTATAATCATATATTATCATGGGTGGAATCAGAAAGAACTAAATATATATTTTACTATTTCATATATAAAATTATGCATTTCATAATTTTATTTTGGTTGATTTTTCCATATGGGTGGAATTAGAAGAATCTTGAGTTTTTAGAAATATTTGTTTAACTTATTGTGGCTTTTATAAGAAAATGTGACATTACATATTTAACATATTTAAAAATATTTAATCACATTTTTTAAAATATAACTAATTATAGATATTTAGCCATATTGCTTTATATATATAGATGAACTATGAAATTTTGTAATAATAATAAAATTTTAAGCTTTTGATATATAATAACTAGATATTGTTGAGTACTCTAATAATTAAAGCTTGATCTTGTTTGGTTTTGTAGTGAATGCGGATGAGTGCATGATGACAAGATTGCAAGAAATGTCTATGGATTACCACTTCAAGGTGGAGCAAGAATCAGGATCAACTTCTTGCGGGTTCTTTGGTTTCAATGGTAGGGTTTTTCTTTTTCAGAATTCTTAGTTATTTGATTTCACTGGTCGAAATATATATTTTTTTAATATTGAATGTCAAAGCATAAATTTGGAATTTTTATTCTAATTTTTTAGCAATAATTTCTAATGTTTTAGCATTTGAAACTGTTATCGTACTCTCAATTTCTCACACATGAATTTTCTTCTTTTCTTTTAGAGCAGAAATTTTTGAACATATAATAGAAGTAAACAAATTTAGTAAAAAAATTTAAAACTGAGATTAAAAATATAGATCATTGAATCAAAATTTAAAATATTTAACTTATTTTAACTGAAATTTATTTTTAATATGTAAAAATAAGATATATGAAACAAACATATATACGTACATCTTTATTTTTTAAAATTTGGTAAGACAAGAGAATTATTTTATCAGAATATAATATTGAAACCGACAAGACTTGCTTGTGGAATTTAACAGGAACAGCAGGAGTTTGGAGAATCCAAGCCATTAATGACGCCGGAGGTTGGGAAGACAGAAGTACTGTGGAAGACATGGATCTGGCCGTGAGAGCAACTCTTAGAGGCTGGAAATTTGTCTATGTTGGAAGCATCAAGGTTCTTACTTGTCTTACTTCACTGAATATTATCAGTCACTCTCTCTCTCTCATGCTAATTTTTAATTATCTGGTTGGTTAATGAATTAAATAGGTAAAAAGTGAGTTGCCAAGCACTTTCAAGGCTTACCGTTATCAACAACATCGATGGTCATGTGGCCCAGCAGTTTTGTTCAAGAAATTATTTTGGGAAATTTTGTTGGCCAAGGTTAATCCATCATCCATTAAGCTTAATCACTTAAGAATATCTGTAATTAATAGTATTATGCCATTGAATTAACACTTTGTCCTTTTGAAAATGCAGAAGGCCTCCTTCTTGAAGAAATTCTACATTTTCTACAGCTTTTTCTTTGCCCGGAGAATTGTAACCCATTTTGTTACCTTTTTCTTCTTTTGTGTGCTGATCCCCCTAACAATTTTCTTGCCGGAAATTAAAATCCCCAAATGGGCTTTGGTACACGTACCAACTGCAATCACCCTTCTAAATGCCGTTGGAACACCAAGGTTTGCAATATTTCATCTTAGTTTCTCTCTTACAACTAGCTTGGTTATTTATATTCTCAACTGCTATATATATATGTGATACAATGGATCTAAACAGTGATATTTAGCTACAAATCCTTTCAGCCAAACAAGATCCAGCCATAATTTTTGGATAAAAATATTCTTCATAGTTACAGTTCTTTCTTCTCGTAACACTAATAAAGATTTTCTTTTTAATCCTTTGATGTCACAGCTCAATTCATCTAATTGTCTTTTGGATACTATTTGAGAATGTAATGTCGCTTCATCGTTCGAAAGCAGTAATTATTGGATTATGTGAAACTGGAAGGGCGACTGAATGGATTGTCACCAAGAAATTAGGAGATAAATCGAAGGCCAAAACAATTACAGCCAGTTCTAAACAATCTAGAGTCAAACTTTGGGATAGGTACGTATAAAATAAAGTTCTATATATTCTATAGATAATAAATGGTTTACCTGTATTACTTGAATATAATTTCAAAAATTCTCACTGTTAATCTTTCAGGTTTTATCCTCTTGAGCTGTTAATGGGCGTCTTCCTGTTACTGTGTGGATGCTATGATTTCAAATTTGGAAATGATTACTTCTTTATCTTCATCCTCTTGCAATCTATCACCTTCCTCGTCGTTGGGTTTGGTTATGTTGGAATTCGAGCTCCAAGGGACGATTAGATATTAATGGATGCTTTATATACATTTCTGTTTTTTATTTTTCTTCTTCTTCTTATTATTATTATTACTATATATTATTATTAATAAAATATAATTATTATAAAGTTATTATTGTTCTTATTATTTGAAGAGACCTGCTCTATTTTGATTCTATCATATTTTTAACGAGCAAGGATAATAATTCAGCAATAAGAATCATCATCTACCAATATGCTGTGGGAGGAGACAGCTCTGTAAGGAGTTACAATGGAGATGAAAAAGCTTAAAAAAAAAAAAGCCATTGCCTTCAATGATGATAAGGAGAGATTTCTTCTGTATGTGGGAAAGGGAAGGGCTCATGAAATCTTGGAGAGGAAGGTTGCGACTGTTGTGAGGATATAACAGTGGGATCAATGGTGTATATGCAGGTGTTGCAATAAAAATTGGTTATATTTCTTTCTGTTGAGGACATTTCAAATTTGGTTTAAGAAAATATTATTCGCTTGTAGAAAAAATGAATTTCTATTGATAATGATTTTTTTTTTTTTTGAAAAAAATTTAGCTCAGAATGTTCTGATCTAAATTTAAGCAAACTAATTTTTTTCTCATTAAATTTATTTTAAGATGAATATAATATATATTTTAGTAGTTAATTAACTCTAAAAATTATACAAAAAGTAAATTTTTGGGCAGATATCATAAGCCTTGTTTTTCATACATGTGCTATGGTTAAAAAAAAAAATGATGAGTTTTTGAAACGTAATGGTTATGTGATTCTTTCCCAAAAAGACTAAACAATTTCATTCATTAGATGCATCCACACTACTCATCGAAGTTTTGTTTGGGATACATTTCTTACTACTTTTTAAAGGAAATTTTTAACTCAAAAATATATAGTTTAAATTTTTTTTTTTTACTAAAATACTGTTTGAAAAGTATTAAAAAAATTATCCAAAATAAAATCTTATTTACAAGTGGCCAAGTGGGCATCTCTTCTCTTATTAAGAGTTAAAAAATTTTAGAATGTCAATTTAGGGCTTACAATATTTGGAGAAAAAGAATTATAAATTAAGAGTTAGAAGTTATAAAGGAGTTTAAGACCTTTTTTTTTTGTTAAAACATACAGAGGGGCCTACGCATTAATACAAAAAAGGATATTACAATGTCCTTAAAAGGAACCTCCAGCTCACTAATGCTCAAATGAGCTACAAAATAAAGCAAAATAAAACCTAATAGCTGGTTGTTCCTTATACTAATAGTTACAAAAATACCTAAGAACATACTAGGGCTGCAAGGAGATATCACCCAAAAAAGGAAGAGCAAAGGATCAACATTCAGCACGAACTTCCTACAAAAAATGTGAACCGAGCCGTAGATAGCAAAATTGGCTTGTGAGTCTGACGAGTAAGCAGAAGTAAAAATACTAGTGGAAAGGTGACAAAAACCTTGAGCCTATAACAGTCACAAAAATTGAAGAAGGTATTGAGTTACACATAATATCCATCATAAATATCTCTCATGATATGATCCACCTCTTTTTTATCATATATATATTCATCGTAGGGCCTACTTGTTAACAACAAAAATATTACAAATCTTTAAAGGGATCTAACAATCACTAAACGACTCAAATAGCTATAATCAAAAATAAAAAATAAGACCTACTAGCACAAGATCCTATATCAAAGAGAAAAGAAAAAGTTGGCAAGTACCCAAAACCCAAAAAATATGACAGAGCTTAAATAATCATTAAGCATCAGGTACTAACTAAATTCTTGCAAAAAGAATTAAAACCTACACAAAACAAATTTTAAGAAGAAGCATAGTCAAAATTTAAATTACGTGAAGGAGCATAATTTTACAAAAAATTAAAAAGAGTCAAACTAGCCAAACTGTTTGGCTAATTTTAAAAACACCAAACTATTGGCGCATTACATGAGAAATGCCAAACTGTTTGGCTAAATTAGTTGTGTTAATTTGACATTTTTTTTGTTTAAAATATAATTTAATTGTTAATTAATAATTTATGAGTAATTAAATATATATAATATTTTTGGACAAAATAAGCTCATTGAACGTTCATAAATTTAACTTTGCCAGAAAAAATTTAACGTAAAAATTATAAACAACATAAAATTTTTTAAAATGTTTGAATTTGGAAGCAACATTCCAACAACAATAAGAACATTGTATTGAAAATCACATTCAAATAGAGATTATCTTTGTATTAAGAATTAGCCAAAAAATACATAATTAGTTTAAATTATTCATTCATTAATTTACAAGTATTTTAATTTAACAAAATATACAAATACAACTAATTTTATACAAAATGTTTGGGTATCAAGAATTTGTTGAAATCTGCAAAGGAGTTAACCTGTAAAAAGCAAAGAAACACAGAGCAAATACTAGCTAACGAAGAAGAAGAAGATTTCAGTCGTAAAACCATTGTGCCCCCTTCTCATTTCACTGTAGCAGTATATATTACAACCATTTCATGATTGCATTGGACATGTGAACAGCCCAGATAAAACTGTTATTAGTCAACGGTGGAAAAGCTTTGCACCACCTGGGTTAGTGTCGTAGATGTACAGTGGCACATGGCTAGTATATGAGAAGCACAACCGTGTAAATCATTATTTTAACTGGTGTGCTTAATACCTCCCCTCAAGATAATAGTAGACTCTGCAATTGTTAGCTTGTTTCGTAAATAAGTAAAACGGGGAATGGAGAGGGATTTTGTAAACAAATCCGCTACTTGGTCTTGAGTGTAAATGTGAGAGATCTGTAACACTTTGTTTTTAATGCAGTCTCTAACAAAGTGAAAATCTATTTCGATATGCTTGGTCCTAGCATGGAAGATAGGATTGTTGGCCAAAGCCATAGCAGATATATTGTCGCAGAAAAGGACTGTATGTCGTTGAGAAGTAGAAATAGCAAAAATTCCTGTAATAAACGGCGTAACCAGATTAAATCTGTAGCAGCAGTAGCTAAAGCACGGTATTCAGCCTCCGTGGAAGAGCGAGCAAGTTTTCTGCTTTTTGACAAACCAAGAAATGAGAGTTTCGCCAAGAAAAGCACAATAGCCAGAAGTAGACTTGCGATCAGTCGGGTCGCCAGCCCAATCGAAATCGGAATATGCTGTTAAATCGATTGAACCGTGAGTAATAGGGAGGCCAAAATAAACAGTCCCTTTAACATACCGAAGTAGTCGTTTAAGAAGTTTTAAATCATCTGTAAGTGGTCGATGCATTTGTTGACATAATTTGTTTACTGTGTAAGCAATATCAGGCTGAGTAATTGTCAAATATTGCAAAGAACCTACCATATGTCGAAAAAATTCTGCTTGAGCATAATCCAAAACGGACTGTAAAGCAGGTAGCGTTTTGGTTGGAATTGGAGACCCAATTGGCTTGCATTCTGCCATTCCGGCTTTGTGTAAAAGACTGGAAACATATGTGAACTGTGATAGATGAATTCCAGTGGTAGTATAGATGACTTCCATGACAAGGAAATAATTAATGCGGCCTAGGTTCTTCATACTGAATCGTGCCGAGAGACCAAGCAATAACTGGTTTATTATATCATCATTATTTCCTGTCAAAAAGTATATCATCTACGTATACCAATATATACATAGTGAGAGACTGCTTACGGTATAGAAGAAGGGATGGATCTGCCGTGCTATGACTAAACCCATAGTCAGTAAGAAAGGTTGAAAACGTTTCGAACCATTTCCTGGGTGATTTCCGTAAGCCATAAATAGACTTTTGTAAATGGTAGACATGATCAGGACAAAGTGGATCTAAAAAACCTTGAGGTTGAGACATGAAAATAGTTTCGGTAAGATGCTGTAAAAACCAAGAATGTGAACAGAGAAGTTACAGATCAATAAAGAAGAAGAATTGATTAATTCATTGTGTTCTATCCGGTGTACATACAGTCCTATATATAGTTTTAGTACAGGTATAAGATATGTAAGTAATACAAATGATGTGGTACTAAGTGTTAATACATTTGTCTTCTAATAGATGCCCATGAAGAAAAGCATTGGACACATCTAGTTGAAGTGTTTTTCAGTTTGAAGTAACAACAACTTTAAGAAAAATTCGGATTGTTGGAAGTTTAGCCACCGAACTAAACGTATCTTCATAATCTAATCCAAATTGTTGGTGACAACCTTGTGCCACTAATCGAGCTTTATGTCGGGCAATAGAGCCATCCGAATTTAACTTTGTTTTGTAAATCCATTTACATCCCAATACATTTTGATTAGGATGCGAAGGAACTAGTTTTCATGTTCCTTGTTGCTGAAGAGCTGCAAATTCCTAAGACATAGCTGTCCGCCAAAGAGGATTTTTGGATGCCTGAGTATAACAAGTAGGGTCGGATGGTACAACAACATGGCTCATACTGATAATATGCCTTGGTTTTAAATTACCTGTCCTCGATCTTGTAAGCATGGGATGGGGAGCAGGTGCAGGTACAATAGAAGGTAAAGAATTATCATCTGGAACAGATGAAACAAGTTGTGGTTCAGGTAGAATAGGGGAATTTGAAGCTATTGTTTGAGTGGTTTCAACAGGATAGTTTGAGGGAGAATTTGGCACATTTGAATTCAGTTGTTGTATAGGAGGTTTAGAAGATTGAACAGAGGTTGGAACCAATGCAAGTGGAGGAATATAAGATGAAACAGGTGAAGAAATTTGTGTATTGTTCATGCAAGAATGGAAAATTCTGTTCATGAAACTTAACATGACGTGATATAAAGAGCTTGCCTGAAGGAATATGATAGCAAATGTATCCTTTTGCAGTGGAGGGATATCCAATAAAAACATAAGAAAGAGATTTGGGATGAAGTTTGGAAATGATAGTAGAAGGAAGAAAAGGATAACACAAGCAACCAAATATACAAAGAGAATTATAATATGGTTGTTTGTGATAGATCATATGAAAAGGTGAAGATAATTTGTTGGATATCGACGGGAGAAGGTTAATAAGATGGACAGCTGTATGAACAGCACCAAACCAAATTTTTTTAGGAAGATGAGCTTGAAATAAAAGAGCCCGGGCTGTTTCCAGGATGTGCTGGTGCTTTCATTCAGCTAAGCCATTCTGTTCTGGAGTGTACGGGCAAGTCTGTTGGTGAATAATACCGACTTGAACAAGAAGAGATTGAAAATGTTTCGAGGTAAATTCACCACCACCGTTAGATCTAAAATATTTAATTTTAGAATCAAATTGACGTTCAACAAATTTAAGAAATTTGGCAAACACAATTGGTACATCAGATTTAGCTAGCTAGTAAAGGAAACATTCAACAGTAGCGAGAGAAGTCATCTACGAAAATGATATAGTATTTATAACCTTGCAAAGATAAAGTAGGGGAAGGACCCCATACATCACTGTGAATTAAATGAAGCACAGTATTAGAGCGATACATAGATGGGGAGAAGGGAAGTTTGT